ACTAGAGAGCTTACTACCAATCCCGAAACACACCACATGCGGCGTGCAGCACACTCCCTTCTTTCCTTTTTTTCAAAAAGTTGAAAGCAAAAATATTCGCACTTATTTTTCTTTTCATAAATAAAAAGACCAAAATTTCCTACTACTTTCTCTTCCCATAAATCAAAAGCATCAAAATTCCTCTTCTTTCTTTCCCAAAAAATTGAAGCACCAATTTTCCACTTTTTTCTCATCCTGAAAATTTCAGTTGAAAACACCAAAATTTATGAATTCTTTTAGAATAATCAAATTCTAAAACAAATTACTTTACTTTGTTTACATTTAATTGATAATTTTGTTGAATATTTAAACTCACCAGGATTTTAATGAATATGTTATATTAACGTTATACATTGTCTCAAAATTTTAATTCTTCATTATCAATATTGGTATAATGTTGATTTTATATTTCATATTTATTTTTAGTTTTTCTAAGAACTTTATATTTAAGTAAACTTCATGTTTTAATTTGTGTGATTTGTAACAAATACACAATTTCAAGTGCATTTCATATTTTGAACTTTCCTTTAGAAGATGTAAAATAATTTTATGTAGGGTTTAGAGAAAATAAATCATTTTGAAAGACTACTATATAGTAATTTTTCAGGTCAATCGGGTGGGTCACGGGTTAGTCGGGTTCAATTAAATTGGATTAGTATTACAGGTTTAATAGGGTTGCGGGTCAATCAAGTTTAGGTTACGGCCAGCCATGTTGCGGATTAATCAGTTTGAGGGTCAATCGAGTTACGGGCCAGGCGGGTTGCGTGTCATTGACTTTTAGTCAATTCTAGTTGAGGTTGGGTTGACCGAGCGGATTACTCGGATTAGATTTTGTTTTGACACCTCTATTGGCAACGGTATTCTTACTCTTAGTTGTTTCAATGCATAAAATCAACTCTGAAGTATTGGTTGCCACTATGGGTGCAACAACTCAGTAGCACGAGGTGAGCTGAATCTCTCAACTGAGTGATAGTTCCATTGAAAACGTTCAAAATCTAATGCTGATCAAAATTGTTTATCTAGTTGAAGGGAATGCTTTTGGATGAGAGGCGCAGGGCCCTCGGTCTGAAATTGGTTGTTCGAAGGCCTCCGCACATGACCCCGTATGGAAATCCTGGAACAAATAAGTTGTTGCCTGATCTTTATAGTGGCATTGAGTTCTATGTTTTTCAAACTTTTAAACTTTCATGGTTGAAAATTTTCTCTTGGTTTCCTATGATTTAAGTTTTCACTTAAATGTCTGTATGGTTGTGTGAGATATTGATATTTGTTGTTTCATGCAACTGAAGCATGTGATTAAGACACATTACATTCATTTACAGATATTAATGTCAAAATTTCCTGATATGCTACAGGTAAGACCATGGTGGCTCGAATTCTTGGAAGGTTGTTCCATCTGGTTGGTATCCTACCTACAGACCGAGTAACCGAAGTACAACGTACGTATACTGCTTGAGCCCCCCCCCCCACCTCGAAACCCACTCAGGAAGGTCATTACGCACAATATTTCCCTATTAAGATCATTGTTGGTACACTCTCTATTTTTTCTCTTGGTCAACATCTCAACCCTACTCCATTGGTGAACCACCCTATGGCGATTTTGGGCGTTGCTATTTCGACGATATAGAGTGGTGTGGTGGGAAGTGCAAGCCTGAGGCCCAAAACACTAAGCATGCAGCCCATTATCAACATAGACACCGATCCAGCAATGGCCATTAGGAAGCATCCCAATAAGACCAACATCCTAGAGATTATGAGCAGCGGCTGGCGACCGATCAGATCAGACAATGCACCGAAAGGAAGCATAGTGAGGGCGGAGAGGAACTGAATTATCCCCACAAAGCATGTTACATACAGGTCCTTCATCTTCAAGGTGGTGAATGAGTTGTACATGGTACCTGATTTTACGGCGACTACTCTTTCAGTCTGAAAAGCAAGCCTTGCGATCCAATAATCGAACGCTCAATAATAAGGAATGAATTCGAGAGTCCACAAATTCGTAACAGTATGTGACTGTTTCTCTGGTGGAGTCATACGACCAGACGTCGTGCGTGACCCACCCCCTTGCCAATTCATGCTTCGTTATTGACTGCCCCGTCATTGGATCGCAAGGCTTGAGCTGAAAAAGCAGTAGTTGTAAAACCAAGTTACCACGTACAACTCATTCACCGCCTTGATCTTCCTGGGATGAACGGTTGGGATTGGAGTTGTGAGAAGCCCCATCGAACCACTATCAAAGCTTACCTTAGATGTAGGGTGGTTCACTAGCGGAGCAATGCTGTAATTGTGAGTTGTGACCGAGAGAAGAGATAGGGAGTGTATCAAGAGGAATGATACATGTTCCTAATCCATAACCAATCATTAACATAATGAAACAAGATCGAAGTGTTGCGGAGGTTGACACTGATGTTGGGGTCACCGAGGGAACCTGGTACATATCTTAAAAAAAAATTCTTTAACTAACGTTGTTTTAGCTATAGATTAGATAAGTTTTCCCTTTTGGTACAACTTACCTCAAAAAGTTTTTTTTTTCTTTTCTCACGTATAGTTTTCTCCATCTTAATCCACGTTTTCTAGCTGTTGATTAGATAAATTTCCCTTTTTGCTAGGAATTACCTTAAAAGGATTTTTCTTCTTCTCTTACGTATGTTTTTTCCTTATTCCACATCATTTATAGTTGTCGATTAAACAAGTTTCCATTTCGCTAAACTTACCTTAAAGGGTTTATTCCTTCTCTCGCGTATGATCCCCCCTAATCCACGTTTTTCCAGTTGTTGATTAGGCAAGTTCCCATTATCTCAAATGCTAAATAACGAACAAAATCAATCTCAATACGAAATGTTTCGATATGGTATATAGTATAGACTAAATACTAAACTAAATAACGTCATATTAGTATGTAAATTGCGCAAGTTTGTTTAAGAGGTCTGGTGGAGTGTGGGAGGGTGCACTATAAAACTTGCTATGACTTACCATAAATATATGTCTTTCCTTAACCCATGGTTTCCTAGCTGTCTATTAGGCAAGGTCCCCCTTTCGATAGAACTTACCTTAAAGGGATTTTTTTATTCTCTCATTTATGTTTTTTTTTTCCTGCGCTCATGTTTTTCTAGCTCTCGATTGGACACATTTCATTTTTTGTAGGACTTACATAAAACAGTTTTCTTCTTCTATCACATATGGTTTTTCCCTCTAAACCCACGTTTTTCAGTTGTCGATTAAGTAAGTTTACCCTTTTCACTAGTACTCATGTTGAAGGGTTTTTTTTCTCTCACCCCTATTTTTGTTATAGATTAGGCGAGTTTTCCTTTTTCTCAATTCATAAGGAGTTATATTAGTGGACATGGGAGGGTGCTATACGACTTGTTAACAATTACCTTAAAAATAATTTTTCCCTCTAACTCATGTTTTTCTACGTGTTGATACGAAAGGTGCACCATAAGACTTGCTAGCATTAACCTCTCCCGAAAGTGGTCATCAAAAGCTTCTTTGATTTCATCGGACTCATAAATCATCCTCCCATTCACCTTATTGGAATTGATTTTTCTCCTTCTATTGTTCGCCGCGACAACCATGTGAAAATAGCCACTATTTTTGTCACCCGCAGTAAGCCATAACTCCCTAGATTTTTTAGGGCATAAGAATTCTTCCTGAAATAGAACTCTCTCCAATTCTCATTTAAGCAGGCTTCTCTCAACACCGCAAGAAGCATGTAAAGCGCCTTGTTCTTCTAACATATCAATAGCCTTAATTTTTTCCACCAAACTTGCAATCTTAACCTCCACTCTCCCAAATTCCTCCTTATTCGTAGTCTGTATCAGTGATTTTGTGACCCGAAGATGTTGCCCAAACCTGAACAACCCTCCAATACCAACAATGAAACGCTCCACCATCCCACAAGACTAGATTCGAAGGCCTCCTTTGTCAACCACATGTTTTCGAACTTCCATGGCCTTCGAATACGATTAGAGCATCCCCATTTTAACAAGATCGGATTAAGATATGATTCAACGCGATCCTAGGCAATAATGGAATCCGGCGATAACTCTTCCTCAAACCTTGCATTCACGAGGGCTCTACCAATTATGGACATCGAGCTAGATCCATTACTTCAGGTTAACATTGAACCGAACAAAGGTAACTCCAATAGCTCGTAAGAGTTGATAAAGCTATTGAATTCAAACATATTTATGTTATTCATAAAAAAAGTTATTGTCCTAAATGTTTGTCCAAAACATATTTATGTTGTATGCAAGTATATTTGTGAGCGAATTGTGTTCTTTTTATTTTTTGTCATATTAGGCATACTTAATATAGATTATGATTCACGTTGTTTTTTTATTGTGTCTACACAATTTTAGAAGAAAAAGTATTTTGTATGTGGTAGCTTATAATGAATAACATCTTTAGCTATTTTCAGTAAATATTTATGAAAAAATATTATATATATATGTTAGAAACAAATTGCACTTTATTGAGTTTCATACAAGTTCTATGTATTTTGATGTCTTTTGCTTCGGTTTAAGTATTTTTTTATGTTTTTCCCTTTGATTTATTTGCTTGAAATTGTAATTAGTTGTATAATTTATTAGTGTTAGGTTGAATTTTTACCCAACTCATTCATAAACAGTAAGGTTTTAATTTTTGGTGAGTTTGAACTTTAGTATTTTTCGAAACGAAATTGTACGAATCAGATGATTAAAAAGGCTAAATTACACGTTTGGTCACTCAAATTACGTAAATCTTTCATGTTTACCACTCGAATTACTTTTCTTTCTTATTCGCCACTAACTTTATGAATCCTTTCACCGGTACCACCGGCTGTTAGTCTCCGTCAAAGTCCGTGAACTCCATCAGTTATTTGATGACATGACAAACGGGAATACTGACTGGACCATTAATTTATGACATGTACATTTACAAAAATGAAAACTAATAATAATAAAAAATTAACAAGAAGGGAAAGATTTGCTCCGGGCAACACTGTCTGTTCGACTTGCTCTCACCTCCACTACTCAGGCGGCGGAGGAGGAGGAGAAGAACTGCAGAAAGATGGGGAAACTGGCGGCGCTGAAAGCAGAACCAACACTGAAGCTATCGCCTGCAACAACAACATCGCATCTCTAATCCCTAATTCCCACATTTGGAGAACGCGGATTCGGAAGCGAAGGAATCCAGATCCAGATTTCACATTCGTCATAGCAATCAGTCTCAAGGTCGCGGCTGAAGCCGAAATTTCAGCAGAACTATTTGTCGAACGCCATCGTGGGGCTTGAAATCATCCTGAAGGAGGGGGGACTTATTGCTGTCGCTAGATCATGTGGTGGTGGAGGTTAACAGAGTGGTGGCCGACCAGACGAACGGGAAGTTGAAGGAAGACTTGTGGTCTTGGATTGAGAGTACCCAGATTCCAACGACGGCCGGGTTCTCCTTGGCGGGGGCATCGGGGCTAAGTAGTTCGCCTGGGTTTGATGTTTACGGGAGTGATTTCAGGTAGTGGAGGCGGTGATGAGTGGAGGCAGGAGCAAATTGGAAGGGAAGGTTACGGTGTTGCCCGGAGCAAATCTTTCCTTCTTGGTAATGTTTTTTATTAATTTTTATATTTTTTATCGACATGTCATTAAGTTAATTGTCCAGTCAGAAGTTCCGTTTGCCATGTCATAAAAAAACTGACGGAGTTAACTGACTTTGACGGAGATTAACGGCCGGTGACTGCTGGTGAAACGATTCGTAAAGTTAGTGGTGAATAAGAAAGAAAAGTAATTCGGGTGGTAAATGTGAAAATTTTATGTAATTTGAGTGACCAAACATGTAATTTAGCCTGATTAAAAATATTAAATTGGAACCCGATCCATGTACATCTCTAATTATTTACACCATAAAACACATGATAATGCTCAAATGAATGGATATGCGATCTATATGTCTATACTCTATACATAACATTTGACATCTAACTGCATTCTGGTATTGCTGATCGCCATGATCAAGATTCAAGGTAACAATAAGGTAGTTGTTAGTCATTTTCATATAATCCACTTGTTCTTGCCTGATAAGTCTTGTTACCACTACAACGAGAATTCCCCATGTGATGATACTTTGAAGACGTTAACCTAATCACACACTGACAATCTGTCTCCATAGTTGCAGCCAAGTAATTTCAATCTTCAGAAGAAAGAAGTCCCCAACAAGATTCCAGAAATGATAGGCTTCTTTGACACCTCTACTGCTCCACATCACTCCAAAACCCAAAACCCTAAACACACTCAACCACCTAATCAAGCGGTTAATCACATCAAAGCGTGCAAGGCCCTTCTTCTGTTCTTCATCCATTTGGTCTCTTTAGCCCATTTGGCGTCCAGCCAAGCTGCCCAGAACTGGGGAAAATGACACGATCATACAGACCCACGACGCCACGTGTACACTAGATGAGGTTGCTTTAACGTGTGGCCATCACAATCTTTTTTTTCCTCTCTTTTTTCCCCACCACCTCGTTCCCCCAGATTCCAGAGTTCTTGATATTTTTGAACTTTGTCCAGTTGTAATCTTCCTTCTTCCACAGATATTTGACTTGCTTTAGAAAAAGGATAAGTAACCAACCAAGCATTACCTAACAAACCCTCACCGGAGAAGAATTTCCTGCCTTTCGCCGTACTATATGCGATCTGGGTTTGGATTTCTCTAATGGCTGCCGTTGCAATTGCTAAGCTACAAGTCTACCCTGTCGATCACTTGGCGGGTTGCTGCGGGGAACGGCAGAAGGGGAGTTTTGGGTTCGTTAGACCAGCAGCAGCAGGGCTTTTTCGTGTCCAGAAGGGAGGTTGTGGCGGAGGACAGCCGTTGTCGCAACACTGCAGGTCTTTCAGGTCTGAAGATGGTGGCGGTGGAAGGGAATTCGATGATGGGGAAAAGGAAGAAGGGAAAGATGAGATTTTGAAGGGGGGAAAGGCAGAGAAGTTGAAGAAGGGAGATGGGTTGTGGGTTCCTGGGGTTGGTAGGTTGAAATTGCCTTCAAAGGATGAGTATAGTAGAGGAATTGCTCAAGTGGAGGAAGTCTTCTCTTCGGTGAGTTCCTGAATAGTGACTAAATTGTGGATTTAGTTATGGTTAACATGTAAATCTAACTGTACATCTGATGAACCAGGCTGCAATCCACGTTGGGAGATACATTGTGACCATGATGAGCACTGGAGTAGTACTTGCTACTGGTTTTCAGTTGTCAGGTTAGTTTGAAGTTTCTATTATGTTCTTTTCCAGTTTGGATGAAATCATGTCTTATCTGAAATGTTCAACTGCGAACAAAATTTGCGTGTGAAGGTGGAGACGGTCAAATGAATGATCTTATCTGGTATAGCTGGCTCGGAGGAATCATAATTGGGACAATGACAGGTGCGAACATGGTGTTAGATGAACATTGTCGAGCAGGCCCTCGTAATGTTGTCATAACTGGAAGGTATATCGTATATATAGTTATATATCCTTTGGCAATGCTGCTCAAGGTGCTTTTGAGCCTTATCTTTTCCTGATATGAGCCATGTTTGTTAACTTGCCCAATTCATTTCCTGATGCATGTTATAACCAATAGCACAAGGGGATTGGGGAAAGCACTTGCTAGGGAATTTCTTCTATCAGGCGATCGTGTGGTTGTTGCATCACGAAGGTTTGTCCATTGATATCCTGTCACTCTGGAGAAACCTATCTTCTTGGATATGTGATTAGTACTCACGATCTTACCTTGTTTTGTGCTTGGAAAAACTCAGCCAGGAATCCGTCGATATGACAGTGAAGGAGCTGGAGGAGAACCTCAAGGAAGGAATGGTCTCAGCAGGAGGTTCATCAAAGCGGAATCTTTCCCATGCAAGAGTAATTGGCATAGCCTGTGATGTCTGTCAACCATCTGATGTGAAGAAACTAGCTAATTTTGCAGTCAGTGAGTTTGGTTCCATTAACATATGGGTGAGTACTGATTCTCCCAAGCTGATGTTACTCATCACTTCCGTATGTATATGTTCATTTGGTTCTTCTATTTTACATATGGGTGACTAGTTTTGGCAACTTCCAATGATTCAAAAAACAGATAAACAATGCCGGGACGAATAAAGGTTTCAGACCCTTGCTGCAGTTCAGCGATGAAGACGTAACTCAGGTAAGTGAAACTGCATTCAAAAAGCTTCAGAGTTGCATTACATAGATGGGGTTCATCTGCAATGTGTTATTGTGTGACTGACATTATCTGATTCTGGTAGATTGTCTCGACGAATTTGGTGGGATCAATTCTGTGCACCCGAGAAGCCATGCGAGTGATGGAAAACCAACCTAAGGGAGGCCACATTTTCAACATGGACGGTGCAGGTTCTGGGGGCTCAAGCACTCCTCTTACTGCTGTGTAAGACATGCTGACTTTGTGTTTTCGATATTAACAGTGTACATAGAAGTTGAATGTTGTAAGTGATGCTCGGATCCCATTTCTTTCCCTTCCGAACTTGTAGTTATGGAGCTACGAAGTGTGGTCTGAGACAGCTTCAAACATCACTTCTAAAGGAGAGTAAGAAGTCTAAAGTGGGAGTTCATACAGCTTCCCCGGGCATGGTCCTCACGGAATTGCTCTTGAGGTACACTATGGAGATTCTATGTTAACACATCCCTGATCTCTGGAGGCTCTTGCTTTCTTCTTTCGTTAACTATTCACTTACTGTCTCTTCTACAGTGGATCAACACTGAAAAACAAGCAAATGTTCAACATAATCTGCGAGCTCCCAGAGACCGTTGCTAGGACTTTGGTCCCACGGATGAGGGTCGTGAAAGGCTCGGGGAAGGCCATCAACTACTTGACTCCTCCCAGAATCTTACTTGCCCTAGTCACTGCTTGGCTGAGGCGTGGTCGGTGGTTCGATGACCAGGTAATTAGTTGTCACATTTCCATTATCCACTAAAGAAACTCCTTTACATCAGTAAATCAGCACAAAGTATAAACTCAAATCAATATTCCCTTTGTGTATCATTCAGGGAAGAGCATTGTACGCAGCAGAGGCAGACCGATTACGAAACTGGGCAGAGAATCGTGCTCGGTTTTCGTTCACCGATGCCATGGAGATGTACACCGAGAACACATGGGTATCGGTTTTCTCGCTCTCTGTTGTGTGCGCGTTCATTATACTGTCTAGCACCAGCGGCGTATCTCCAGGCACCTAAGTCGAAGTAGGATACGCCCCAATTTTGGGCAAGTCTGAAAGAGGATCTTAAGAAAAGCACCAAAGTTGCAAAAGATTTTAGGCCATCCCTTTTTCTCAAGTTTTTAGCCATTCATGGAAAGGGTCTCTGCTGGTTTTATGTTCATACTGGCTGGATGTCGCGTGGAGCTGGTGATTGTCACCCATCTTATTGTTGTATACACAAGACAGTCCTGTAAATGTGAATTGCTGTAACAGGCCAAGATGGTTCTATTGACGTGTAATGAAGTGTAAGAAAGTTGCAGTCTTGTAGGACTTTTACGTTTCTCTTCAGCTATTCATGGTCGGCAATGGTTGTCTATATAGTAAGCTACTAATCATGTTTAAGAATTCACGATTTTTGTACAAAGAATGTAGTTGGTTCCAAGTCAGCTTTTGGGATGTTGAGTTGATATCACCAGCCATGAAACCTTCTCCGTTGCTACTGTATGAGGCTTTGAGCCCATTTATATGTTGTTGGATTTGGCCATTTGGGCCTGCTGACGAAATCTGCTGCTGATTCTCGGTCAATAGTTGTTTATCTGCTTCCCTACACCGCTCGACCTCTGTCTCCCGCAGCTGGGTTTTCTCTTTGTAACTTGCCGGGGGATTCAATCCGGCGATCAGCGGATTCTTCGCCGATGTGAAGAGAAAAAGGAAAAAAGGTGGGAACTTTGACTCTATTTCCAGTCCATTTGCACTTCTATTTGCCGATGGAATTTGTAAAACTGTCACTCGAATTTTTGGCAAATTGGATTAGGAACTTCTGTAGTTGTGTTTCCCCCAATCCCATTTTACGGTCATCCTTTTGTTGTAGGTCGTTCTTTTTATCTAGATAATTCTCAGTTCTGTTCATTTGGAATTCAATTATCAGTTGTACCCGTCCTTTCTATCTCAACCAGCAACTGGCTCTTGTCTTCGCCGAGGTAAACAAAGCAAAAAGTTGCAGACTTTGACTCAGTTTCCACTTCATTTTACAATGAATCTGCAGAACCGTTAGATTGACGAAGTTGAGTACAAAGTCAGTAGTGGTCGTTTTTTTGGTATGTAATGACTCTCTCAGTTCTGTTCGTTGGCAATTTTTTTGTTTTGGCCGCTCTCTTTGACCTTTCTGGATTATCCGAATCAGGGTTCTGTGATTTTGGATTCAACTGCCTGAATTGGTATCTCCGTTTTTTGTGTTTGCTTGGGGTTTTCGCATCAATGACATATTCGCTTTTATCTGAAAGCTGTGAAATCTTCCTTCTGTCAATCTTAACATCACTTGATCCTACATCAGGAAATTGAGGCATCACAAAAGTTTTCACAGGTTCTAGCTTTCATCATCCTGGAATCGATGGCTGCTTCAGAATTGAAGACCGAGAATGTCGATGTCAAACCAGTGGGGAATGCAGCAGCAGCAGCATCATCAGTTAACGTAAGGGTGTTGTTCTTTGCCAGAGCTCGAGACCTAACTGGCGCAGCAGATACTTTGTTGGAGGTGACATCGGGCAGTACAGCAGGCGACTTGATCGAACTCATTGCTAGATTTCCCGGGTTGGAGGAGATTAGAGAATGTATGGTGCTCGCCCTGAATGAGGAGTACACATCGAATTCTGCAGTCGTCAAAGAGAACGACGAGCTGGCTATCATACCTCCCATCAGTGGTGGTTAGCTACATTCACCTTCCAAAATTGTATAAGCACGCTCGCGATTGTGCTCGTTGTATGATCAATTTGCTTCCTGTATGTGGTGCAAAAGATGTTCAAACTTTTACATGACAATGATACGACTTGGCAAAGCTTGAGAATGTAACAGCTTAGGCTGCTATTGCAAATGTGCACTCTATTGCAAATGATACGACTTACCTTCTTATCGTTGTCGATTGAAATGTGCACTCTATTTATCGTCAAAAATACATTTAGATAAATAAATCTATGAGATACTGAAGAGAACCATAATACACTAACAGAGAGTATGGAGTATCAAATTGTCGACAAGAGATCAAGAATTAACTCCTTAATGTCGAGTAACTCACTAGGATATAGCTGGAGTTTGAAGACTATCATTGAGTAAGTATTAGCATTGAAAATTTAATGATAACTAGTCAGTTTCATTTTTTATGGCGCAGGCCGATAATCTAGGATGTGGCAGAGCTCAGAATCGGAAATGGGAAGTCGGAATCAAGCTCAAGGAATCTAAGATTTTGGTCTTCTCGGAACAATTACTAATGGAGACGATCAAAGATGCAGACTTTTGATCTGGGTTTTCTCCAGGAAGGCTGAGCTTGTTAATGTTTGCTAGAAGATATACATCTATATAGAAACAGAGTAAACCCAAAACCCAGAAACCAAAAGGGGTTTTTTCTTTTTTATCAGTATGGATGAAACTCCGACGAGCTCACCGGCTGCAACGATGCAGCACACGCCTGCGCGGAGGAAGAAGATTGCGAAGCAGCTGACGGGAAAGAAAAGGCGACACTTCTCTGCATTCCGCGGCAAGGAGCGGCAACATGGCCATCAACTCCACCACCGTCGTCGCCGTCCTGATCGCCACCGTGGCCTTCGCCGGGATCTTCACCGTCCCGGCCTCCCGGGCCAGTACGCGAGCGACCCGACCCAGATGCTACCCGGCCAGACCCCGGGCGAGGCCAACATTGCACATCAGGTATTAGAGTATGTGTAGTACGACTATGTAAATTTCTGTATTAGTACTATCGCTGGTCATATATATATAGTTTCCGCCGAATTCTGATTTCTCAAACAAACAAACAAAAAAAAACAGGCACCCTTCATGGTGTTCTTCCTCTTCGACTCCGTCCCGCTGTTCATATCGCTGGCGATGGTGCAGACGTCGGTGGCGTTCCTCGCGCTGTCGTTCGTGGTGGTCGGCGAGAGCGAGAGGTGGCTGGCGATTACCGTTGCGATCATCGGATTGAGGTGTCCAATTTGAGAAGCATTCGCCGGAATTCTATGGATAGTCGGTCTCGATCGTTCTCGGCTTCGTATATGTCGGATTCCGAGCTGCTTAATAACGATTTCAAAAACATGTACGCCATTTAGAAATAGCGATGCAAGTATTGGAGTAATCCTAGTCGCATCAGGATTCAAGAAAGGAAAGAAAGGAGGTTTCAATCCATGTACATTTCTAGCATCTAACACGTTTAAGTATGTCTTTTTAAGTTGTGCGTCGTCGTTTAAGCGAAGTTGGTATTATGCAGTGTTTAGTTTGTAATAACTAATGACATTCTGTCACGTGGTTGTCTAGATTTGTATTTTTGGTTTAAGAGCGGGCGAACAACTACCCAATAGAAACAGAGCAAACCCTGCACTTTGAGGGTGTTGCATTCCACAATTTCTTCCAAAAGTTTCAACCTACAACATTCGTGATGCTAACTTAATTATCGTTTCGATCTCGACAGTAGCATAAAGCGATAATGATGGACCACAGAAGTACTTGAAAAAAATTATATGGAATTCGATATCAATTTATAAATCACATATAACTTATATTATTTTTCGACTACATAATCAAGACGATCTAAGTCTAACTTTTGCCCTTCTATAGACTGGACAAGTGGGCATCCACACATTAACCTTACATTATGTAAACAACTATAGATTTTACATAAAATCGTATCTCTAGTTGTTTATTTTGAGGATTGAATTCTCCACCCTCAAGAAAAAATCAGTCGACAAACTACGAAAATCCATTGTGATTATTTAAATATTAATAAAAACATTTATTTATTTATTTTTATTTTTACTTCGGACCCACCTTAATTAAAATTCTGGCTACGCCACTGATGACATGTGGAGTTGTAGCTGCAGCAGTCTAGGAGCGAGGTGGTGAAGCGAAGTCGGCGACGCGATAAGATTGAAGGAGAGGCAGGTCGGAGATGGAGTAAATTAGGGTTGACGGCGCGAGAAGAGAGATGAGAAGGGTGTGATGGACATGGTTCGAGGTTGGCTTGCGGACGGCTGATGCAGAGAAAGGTGAGAGCCGAGAGGGGAGAGGGTTGTAGGCTAAAGAGTTAGGCTTTTGGTTGGGCTTAGTGATTTAGGGTTTCGTTTGGGCTTAGGGAGTTAGGGAGTTTCATTTGGGCTTAAGAGAGTTGGAAGGAACAAGGATGAGTTTTGGGCTTATGTAATATATTTCAGTTTTTCGGTCGGGAATTTAGAATCTCGGTTCGATTGAAAGAACCTTGATTTTCGAACTATCTATATTTCACTTCCAAGTTCTGAAACGAATAGCAGTATTTTGATTTTTTGCGGTTTAGTTCGATTTCGGTTCCGATTTACTGAAATATATGCCCACCCCTAATGAAACCGATCCTATTGAGAAAGAGCAGCAACAAAAAAAAGGAAAATTCTTAGCTCCAACCTTGGTTGGACGCAGAAGCTCCAACCAAGCCACGTGTCGGATTCCTATTAGTGAGTTTAACTTTATTTTATATATTTTAATTATTGATTTATTTAGCATAATTAAGAATATTAAATATTAAGAAAAAATAAAGACGAGTCCACAAATAACAATCTGACGCGTGGCTAGTTGGAACTTCTACATCCAACCAATCAAGGTTGGAGCTAAGAATTTAAAAAAAAATGGAGTAATAGCGAAACTTGCGGGAATGCTCCATGGCTGACGTGGAGGCCCGCTTTTTCCAAACGCTTTTAATATTTTGTAAGAAAGACTAATTAACCGTTACAATGATTCTCTCGATAGCCCATCCAAGCGCCATGGCCCATGGCCCATAACCTACCATCATGTGGCTCCAAAGCCCATATCCGAGAGCCCGCGCCAACTTCCTTCACATATATAAACAGAAACCCTAATCTCAACTTCCATCGCGACCACCACCAGCACTTTCCTCTTCACTCCCTCTACCGGCGGCCGAAGATCCAAAGCTAGGGTAAGCTCTCTTCTACTCCCTCGTCGGCGGCGAAAATGGGTCGTGTTCGCACCAAGACCGTGAAGAAGTCCTCCCGCCAGGTGATCGAGCGCTACTACTCGAAGATGACGCTCGACTTCCACACCAACAAGAAGATCCTGGAGGAAGTCGCCATCATCCCGTCGAAGCGCCTCCGCAACAAGATCGCCGGCTTCTCCACCCACCTGATGAAGCGGATCCAGAAGGGTCCCGTCCGTGGCATCTCCCTCAAGCTCCAGGAGGAAGAGCGCGAGCGCCGCATGGACTTCGTCCCCGAGGAGTCCGCCATTAAGGTCAACAGCATTGAGGTCGACAAGGAGACGCTCGAGATGATCAGCGCCCTCGGCATGGCCGATGTCGGTGGGATTTCGGTCGTCGACCCTGTTGCTGCCTCCGCTCCGCAGTTTG